AATATCGGTGGTATGTTGCAAGAACAGTTGCTACCTCATACAATACAAGGAAAGTTGTAGCATTGAAAACTTTGTTGATCGTTATAACATAATTTAACGATTTTACTCACAAACTGGACATCCTTTTATTTGTATTCGCAAACTTATACCGCTTTGCCAATCCAGTGGTTTGATTCTCAGTCCAGTAGCAATCACAGTAACAGGAAACGGAATATCCTTAATTGTCTTCGAGTCACTTGGACCATCAAATACCTACAGAGAAGATAATTAGAGAATGTGAAAAATGAAGATGATAATATTATAAGGTTATTACGAGGATACTTCAAAGTATGCACAAAGATAGTATAGCTGGAGTATCGAGAGGTCAATGCGCGGCGTACTGTCTGAGTGCATACTTTGACGTATTCTTTGAAGTATACATCTTTTCCGTCCAAGGATACACCATGGAAATGCCGAAACTCAAAATGTTTAGAACAGAATCAGCGAACTTCTTTGTGTGGAGTCCGGTCAATTCTTGTGGCAGCAATGTTTGTTTTTATTATCAGAGGACGCATACGCCCTTAATCATTTCATATTTGGAATTTGCATTTACTAATATGGTAGGATGAAAATACCCCGTAAAATACCGCAAAATTGCGGCACGCTGTAACTTATGGCGTTACGGTAACAGATGTATAATAACATATAATTATTAACAATTTGTTCATTGGTACGAAGCATAGTTATGAAATATGAATTCCTCCAAACTATAATCACAGAATCATAGGTCCATGTTCATTTCAACACACACATACTTACCACGGGATTTCCATTATGTATTATAGGAAACCATATATTGCCATCCTGTGTAAACTCCACGTTGAATGATGTTACATACTGTCCATTTTTTCCACCACCTTGTATCCTAATGTCAGATACCTTGAACGGTACGTGATTGAATAAGTCTATATATTCCGCACGCGAGTCTTGTTCTGGTGACCATGATAAATTACCATCTAGTTGGGCTAGTGGTTCATCAGAGCTGATACTGTCAACTGACGATGACGATGGTACAGCGTTGTAATTGATTACAGTAGGCTCCATATTATCTTGACACGGCACTAAAGAACAACACACAAAACATGGATTGAGTTGAAGTCATGAACAATGTATGTGTGTATGAAGAAGACTACAATACACTGAGAACTTCGGGTGAGATGATCAGAATGTACGAAAAATCATTTCAGGAATGATTTATGTAAAATTAAAATTAATACAAACAGCAACGTGCGTATAGCGTCAACATTAGGTAACAGGTTGACTAATAAAGTTATTTATAATGACGTTATATTATTCATAGCTGTTTAGCGCGACGTGCATGAGTTTCGATTTTAGGTATGATCTCCAATAAGGTTATATAGTCGACGAAAGACATGCTCTAAACATACCAAGCTGTAGACAAGATCGTTGAACATCAGCTACGCATCTACCGTTAAGCCATTTGGTGTACCCTTCATTACATTTGCATGAAATACACTCATCAATCTCTCCACAAGATTCGGAAATATTTGGAGGGTCGGGAGGGCATGTTACGTCACAGTTACACATTTTATGGCAATCTGTTGAAAAATTATGGAATGAATCATGACCGTGAACACACTGATATATTATAGCTACCCAATTCGCTGGTATGTAAATATATAATTCGATAATATTTGATGATGTAAGATGATTTATTTTCACGACCATTTAATTTCACTGAGTTCTATTGTTGTTCTACATGTTCAGGTCGATTTAATTTTACTCATCGTATACATATCTACAAAAATAGCTATTAAAATCTAGCGAATATTGTGTTTACAGTACATTGCCTTGATATGTATATCCACCATATTATGTTGTTATGTTGTTACTTACCGGGTATATATTCAGTTGTCGAAATACGAGTTGTAGTTCTCTGAGTCGTTGTTGTTTCTGTTGTATTAGTAGTTTCCCCCACTGTGGACTGGCTTGTACTTGACAGAGTTGTGACCTGAGTAGATGACGGTGGCAGTGATGTTTTTGCTGGTTCAGAGGCTGATAATTTGAAAAGAAAAAATAATACAGCATACGCAATTAGTGATTGTTGGTAAAACAAAATCACAGGTAAAATAAATCAGTTATATGTTTTGGCAATTGACACCGGCACCGAAATTGACATTCTTCGCCGTTATACTCACTTGTTTCATGTGTCACTGTGGATGTTCCACCAGACGTTATTTTTTCTGTTGTAGTTATGGTCGTGTGTCTGGTTGTCGGTGGTACTATCTCAGTAGTAATTGATGTGGTCGTTGCTGGTGAGGTAGTTGTTATCTCGTTCGTGGTGGTTTCAATAGTTGTAACTAATAATAGACAGGAACAAATGTAGTTTATATTAAAATATTTTCATTTGCGTGGACACGCACCGGAAAACTTTGCATTATATTCTTATTATATGTACTCACCCACTTCACATGTATACAGTTTGACAACTATTGTTGGTTTGTTTTTATAACTGTTATCTTCTCCAGTAAGTGTGATCACCAAAACATCAATCTTGTCAATCTTTAAATCATTCATTTTCTCGTTGGTAGAATCAGTGTTGCCAAAAAACATCTATTTAAACGGTGATAAACATATAATTGGTTATCAGTGCAGAATTATTAGTCAAACAATGCATAACATAAATGAATACTATGGCGTAATTGTAAAAAAATCCACGTGGACGTTGAGGCAGTACAAGTAATATTACGTGATATCAGATCAACCAAAGATAATATATTAATTAGTAGTTTGATAATTGAAATCTACTGATTTGATGTTTGTTTTAAAATGTCTGACAAAAAGAGATTTTACCTGTTCGACATTGAAACCTTCGTCAAGGAGACTATCAAGGGGCTGCGGTTCACAGTTCCTTGGTATATATGCAGGATCTCCTTGCCGAGGAGCATGTAGACGACAGTAAGAGTCACCTCCATCACTAGATACTTCAACTGTGTAAGCACGAACAAATTCTTCAACGCCATCTTCTTCCACAAATCCTAATGTTCCAATACTACTAACTCGTGTTGCGTCTAATAGTGTGAGCTTTAACCATTGTACCGTGTCGTGTTTTGAAGGCATCCATGGACCAGGCGGACTATTCAAAAGGTTTGATGGATGTCTTTCAATTTCCCAGGACGATGCTTCTGCGCTACTTAAAACTACTTCTTCGGTTGCCATACCGTATTCCCTGGAACAATGGTCTGTGTGTATAAATGAAGTATGATAGGCTTACCGAGATGAAATGAAGTGTGGATTTTACAAAGCAGATACAGAAAATTGACAATTATGATTCTAAATGGTATCATTCTCAAATCCTCTCAAAAAAAGTCCTCAATAAAAAAACAATAAATATAACAATAAATATAACGATATATATACTGAAAATATGGATATGTACTGTTAATGCTCAAAATTTATTCAGTACCACAATAATAACGTCAATAACGTATTACGTCAAGGGGCACGTTATATAGAATATAACATAATGGTATATATGTATTTGCTAGTGTAGAATTAATATGTTATACCTGCTAGAACCGAGAATAGCTCATCATTACTAAATATAACTAAGTTTATTTAGTTTACAGATTCGTAACTGACACCTCTCCATCGACCCCCTAATATTATAATAAATCTAACCTGTTGATGTGGTGACACGTGTACTTGTTTCCGTAGTTGTACTAACAAACGGGGTTACGGTTGTTTCAATGGATGATACTGTGCTAAATGACGTTGATATACTAGATTTCTTAGCCGTTGTAGAACTTAATGATGTCGTACTAATTGGCACTGCATGAGAAAAAAAAATTATACATCAATTTGTTTTAACAGAACATGAAAGTTTTTTTTTAAATTTAGTAATAAAGACAATCTCTGAAAATATGAACATACATGAAGTTGACGACTCGCTTGTAGTGTTTAGCATCAAAGCAGAAGTGCTTTCGTAGGTGATTGTTTCGAAAGTAGATTCGCCCGTAGTGACGAGTTCACTTGTAATAGTAGCTGTACTTGACGACATTGATTGGCTAGCAGTCACAGGAACGGATGTTGTTTCAATTTCTGTGTGAGTCTTTGTTGTAGATGGTGTTGTCACTTCTGAAATATAATGCAAGTAAACCAGAATGAGTAATTGAAATTGCAGGCAGATATACAACATACGGCTCATCACTGTGTTAAGTAGAAGCGACGTTTTGATATAGCTTGTAGCGTTTTAAAACTAAATTATCATTATATATGATATATGTCATCTGA